TGGAGGTGAGGTTTAGTTGGAGGAAGTACGTCACTGATGATGTGTTCCGGTGATTGTATCTTGACCCAGGTCTTTCCTTCACTCTTTTTCCTTCCAGTGGTCACAAGGTACATGGCTTCCGCCCACCACACCTTTCTGCCAGGATGTTTTAATTTTACCTCAGGCCCATAGCAATGAACCCACACACTATGAATTAAAACCTCCAAAAATAAACCTTTTCTCCTTTCAAGTATTTCTTTTAGGTGTTTCAGCATTATAATGAAAAACTAACATAACTAATATTCTCCCCAGCAACATAATAAAACAAAACAAACAAACAAACAAACAAAAAAAAAAAAAAACAAGAGAAACAGGAAATATGACTAGATCTGTTAAATAACATCAATTTCTTTGTGATTTTGCCAAATAGCAATAAGATTAGTATCAACCTTTTCTAACATCTCCTTAAAAAGAACAAGAGGAGCAACAGAACCAGAAAATTTGAACACAGGGGTCTTCCCAGAGACTCATGCTCCAACCAAGTACCATGCATGGAGATAACCTAGAACCCCTGCATAGATGTAGCCCATGGCAGTTCAGTGTCCAAATGGGTTACATAGTAATGGGAAGATGGACTGCCTCTGAATAATCTGATTGGCCTGCTCTTTGAACACCTCACCCTGAGCGGGGAAGCAGCCTTACCAGGCCACAGAAGATGACAATGCAGCCACTCCTGATGAGATCTGATAGACTAAGATCAGTAGGAAGGAGAGGAGGACCTCCCCTATCAGTGGACTTGGAGAGGGGCATGCATGAAGAAGGGGGAGGGAAGGTGGGATTGGGAGGGGAGGAGGGAGGGGCTTATGGGGGATACAAAGTGAATAAAGGGTAATTAATAAAAAAAATTAAAAAAAAAGAAGTAAAAGAGGAAGGAAAACATCCCCACTCATCCAATGAAGTCAGTTTCACCTCATAACAAAATCAAAGACATTGCAAGAGAAAAAAAAAAAAAAACAAAAACAAACAAACAAAAAAAACAAAGCAAAACCGAGAGATCAACAATGCATGTGAACCAGATGGAAAGACAGTCAACAGAATACTAGAAAATTTGATTCAGCAACATATATAAGGACTAGGTACCACATATGTAATGTTTTTCCTGGTGATGTAAGGCTGTTTCCATTTGAAAGTCTATGAAAGTACTATGCCATATTGAACATAAGGCATCTGAATGATCTTCTCTGTAGATGAGAACAAAGCATTTGACAAGATTTAACATTCTTTTGTGATAAAAAGTAAATCTCTGTGAATGAGGGATGGAATGGAGCTTCAAGTCAGTGCATTTAAAAAAATGCTTGCAATGGTGATATACTGGATTATTTTCCTCCACGATCAGGGATAAGGTAATAACATCTAGTTTTCCCACTTTAACATTGGATTGGAATCTGAAGCCTGGATTATGAGTTCAGCAAAATGTATAAAAGGCATATACATCATGATATCATCTTACTTTGAAGACGATGTTTTTATAAATGCCATGAAAAAAAAAAACCCAGTAGAAGTAATTTCACAAGGGTTTGAGGTTGCATGTCCTAGAGTTGGCGGTGTAATTAATGGCCTACTCTTGTACAGAGCGATAACACCTATGCGATAATACCACTGTACCACAGTGCATTCAAACAAAAATTTGCATCTGGCAGTAAAACCAACTAAATAAAAACTAGTTTGACAGGTCAATCCTTAGTAAAAATATTAGGTTGAACTAAAGTCACAAGCTTTGTATAAATGAACTGGACCTCCAGCTGTGCCTTGCAGGTACTTTGATCTTTTTTCTAAGTTGTAATTCTAGAACAGTTTGTAAATGCTGGTTCTTGTTTTATGCCAGGTTTCTATCATAGGTACAACACCACAGTGAATTCAGACTTGGTTGTCTGGCTTGTTATGGTATTTTTGTCTATAAATTTGAGATCTTGCTGTAACTTCACATGGTAGAAGGGCAGAAAAAAGCTTTCTGCATCTTCTTTTATGAGGACCCCTGTACCATTCACTGGGTCTTCACCCTTATAACTTAATCATCTGCCTGGTTCCCACCTCCAAATCCCATCAGTTTGGAAAATTAAGTTTCAGAAAGTACAAAACCCACTCAAAACCAACTAATCCACTTAAAAAATGGGGAACAGAGCTAAACAGAGAATTCTCTGTAGAGGAATATTGAATGGCAGAGAAGCACTTAAAGAAATGCTCAACCTCATTAGCCATCAGGGAAATGCAAATCAAAACGACCCTGAGATTTCACCTTACACCATTCAGAATGGCCAAGATGAAAAACTCAAGTGACAACACATGCTGGAGAGGTTGTGGAGAAAGGGGAACCCTCCTCCACTGCTGGTGGGAATGTAAACTTGTACAACCACTCTGGAAATCAATTTGGCACTTTCTCAGACAACTAGGAATAGCGCTTCCTCAAGATCCAGCCATACCACTCCTAGGTATATATCCAAAAGAGGCTCAAGTACACAAAAAGGACATTTGCTCAACCATGTTTGTAGCAGCTTTATTTGTAATAGCCAGAAGCTGGAAACAGCCCAGATGCCCCTCAACTGAAGAATGGATGCAGAAACTGTGGTACATCTATACAATGGAGTATTACTCAGCAATGAAAAATAAGGAAATCATAAAATTTTCTGGTAAATGGTGGGACCTGGAAAGGATCATCCTGAGTGAGTTGTCCCAGAAGCAAAAAGACACAAATGGTATATACTCACTCATATAAACATACAACATAGAATAAACCCACTAAAATCTGTACATCTAAACAAACTAAGCAAAAGAGAGGACCCTAACTAAAATGTTCAATCCCCATCCTGAAAGGCAAAGAGGATGGACATCAGAAGAAAAAGAAAACAGGAAACAACCTCGGAACCTGCCACAGAGGGCCTCTGAAAGCCTCTGCCGTGCAGACTGTCAAAGCAGATCTTGAGCCTGATGGCCAACTGTCAGGCAGAGTGAATGGAATTTTATGTAAGAAGTGGGAAATAGTAAGAGCTGGAGAGGACAGGAACTCCACAAGGAGAGCAACAGAACAAGAAAATTTGAACACAGGGAACTTCCCAGAGACTCATACTCCAACCAAAGTTGGAGTATAACCTAGAACCCTGACAATGCAGCTACTTCTGATGAGAACTGATAGACTAAGATCAGAAAGAAGGAGAGGAAGACCTCCCCTATCAGTGGAGATAACCTAGAACCCTGACAATGCAGCTACTTCTGATGAGAACTGATAGACTAAGATCAGAAAGAAGGAGAGGAGGACCTCCCCTATCAGTGGACTTGGTGGGGGGCATACATGCAGAAAGGGAGGAGGGTGGGACGGAGAGGGGGAGGGAAGGGCTTATGGGGGGATACAAAATGAATAAAGTGTAATTAATAAAAGTTAAATAAAAAATTAAAACAAACCCCCACTCAACGTATAGTAATGCCATACTGGTTTCTCAGCCAGAGGACTGATACCTAGTTTATCTAGTTTGTCTAAGAACCTGCTTTCTTGCCTAGGTGAAGGCCATGGTCAGGGTCTGTGGCTAAGCATAGTTTCTGCCTGGTACTTCATCTCAGATGTCTGATTCTCTTGTCCTGCAGCTCTCTGGAGTACCATCCTCCTTATATCTGGATGACATCTTTACCTTGTTGAATCACCAGACTTTCTTGCTTAACTGTTGACACTGGCCTGAAGTTTCAGTGTTTACTCCTCACTTTTCCCATGCATGGGCTCTTCCTCTGTAGCATGCTGCTATCAGTGCAGCCATGAGATGAGGAGGACTTAGGATAATTTATTCTAGTACTTGAGATCTTAGCCACCTGGAGTCTCTTTGAATGATGAGATAGCAAGGAAACAAAAGCCAGTATCTATTGTGATGCTGAGAGGTCATGGTAGCCAGGAAGGCAGGGGAAGGGCAATGGGATTCTGTTTTATAGCCGTTTGTTTTTCTGGTACCTCCTGGAACATGTTGATATCAGTTTGGAAGAATTAACCATAGTCTGTCTTTTGTTGATAATGTTCTATGGTGCAAATTGCAGTGTTGGTCTATCATATATGTATATGATATATGATATAGATTGGTCTATATATACCGTTTGATTTAGATAATTTAGATTCCTATGTCTGGACAAAACAGGGATCCTCCTTTGATATGAAACCCTTCCTCCACTAATGAAAAGATATGGCTTTACTGCCTAAAGACCACCAGTGTAAGCCAAATAGTGGGAAAAAATGGCATTCCTGAAGAAGCAGTGAGGAAAAGAATGACTGCTATGTTAATGAGTCCCATATTTATAAACCTTAACGTCCCATCCCCTGAGGTAGATGCTCATAGACTCTGCTTGAACCTACCCGTTTCTTAATTCTTTTCCCCTAGAAAGCATCACTTTGTAACTTCGTTTACTTGCCTTCTGTGGGTAGCTGCCAAGATTTCAAGCCTGCCTCCCTTCCCCCAGTCTAGTTTCCCTTTTCTCTGGACTTAATGAACTGTCCTGAAAGTTTTCATACTGTCTCACTTCCCTTTTTATGAATCACCCCTGAGTCCACAGCAATAACATGGATTTTTCCATGTAATTGCACTAAAAGCACAGGACTTAAAGTCTGATGTTTTACATTCCATTTCATTGTATTCCGTTCCATTCGATTCCATTCGATTCCATTCCATTCCATTCCATGCTTTTATATCTACCAGTTAATAGTGATGGTTTAGCCTCAAAACTTGTTTTATACAGGGAGATGTAAAGTGATAACTCTAAAGTTTTGTTGCGAGCATTACACACGATAGAGGACAGAACCCAGTGCAAATGTGATAATAGCCCATTTCTTCCCGTCATGATGTGGTGTGGACACGGACACAAATAAGACATAGCCTCCTAGTGTGCTTCATCCCAAACTTTCTATTTGGAGCATTTTTCTGCTTTTAGGGAACACGTAAGCTCCGTTAGTCAATGGCAGAGATAGTGGGATGCAGAGGGGACCCACAGCTTCACTTCACCTTGTCCTTAATGGTTTTTTCAATCCATGGTATGTATGTGTAGATATTGGTGTAGATGCCAACGTCTCCTCCCATGAAGTGTCCAACTTCAATTCCCTGGAGCTTGCCCTTACAAATGACAGTAGCTACGGCCACTTCCTGCCAGAGGTGGGAGGGGAAGGAGGGACAGAGGGAGAAAGAAAATTAAAAATTTAAAGCAGTGCTTGTTTTCACAGCTTTTTTTTTAAAAGCTATGAGAATAAACATTACCAATATGTTATTAACCAGGGCTTTATGACACTCTTTAATCAATAAAGATCATCTGCATGAGGGCTATGGCTGAAAAATGCAGGTGTCATTGCAATATCCTTATCAAATTCTCAAAGATTACTTCGACATTTAAATATATTATGGTTAAACAGTTAACTAGATACATATAAATAAATGAAATCTGAACATAGACAAAAAGATTACCCCAAAAATACGGCTGAATACTTTTACAAATTTGACACATAAGGAGTTTCTGTGGCTGCTTCCTTGTTGAGTTTTCTGGCAGTCTCTGTCAGCCATCACCGGAGCCTCCAGATTCTGCCTTAAGTCAGGATGTCTGCCTGAGGGAAAAACATGTGGCTCAGCTCACAACTGTCACTTAGCCCAAACCCTCACCTCCTGAACTTCAATGTTTGTTATTTTGTGTATGAATAAAGGAAATAAGAAAGGTGAAAGAGGAAAAAATTAAAGTTTTCTGTGAATGAGAGTTAATTCTGCAGATTCTTATTCTACAGTACCAAGTGCACATAGTAGCATTTTACCAATGTAAAATAGTCTTATGTGATTTCCTTTCTGGTCTGACTCTACAAATGATCTGATTCAGGTTCCCCACAGATGCCCTTTATATGTGAATTGAACATGTGGGGCCACCACCTGCCTCCTTAATGTAACTTGTTCCATGCCAATAAGTAATGGCCTCTGTGCAGTCAGATGGCCCATAGGGTCCAGCTGCCAAAGTCCTGTCAAGGCCAGTGAAGGTTCAACTGACACCATGAAAACAGAGAAGCACTGGAATTTGAGATATTGGTGTAGATGCCAACGTCTCTTTCTAGGCCACTGCTGTAGCTTTGCCCTTTGGCTTGAGCCGTGTCCTGCTCCATCTCCTCCCACAGCTCTGTGTTCCTCACTCATAGTGAAACTAATGGCTTCACTTGCTGTGGAAGGTGCACTTACCATTGTTTTCTTGACTCCAGTCCAAACCTGAAAGTGTACAGACAGTGCCTGGCCGGACATTGGTGGTGGCTATGGGAAGAACCTGGACTTTGTGGTTGAAGGTGGCAGGCTTAGCTAGTTTAATAAGCATGAGGTCATCCTGTGGGGCTGTGTGGCTGTAGTTCCAGTAGCGGATAATCTGGATGGGATAAATTATCTGCTCTGTCCCATCTCTGATTCTGCTCTTGAAATTTCCCAGCATCACCCTCAGATTTCTGGAGGAAGAAGGAACTGGAAGTAACCACTGTTACCACCACCACCGCCATAACATCATCATAAATCATCATCATCATCACTCACCACCACCATCATCATTTTGGGTATTAGGTACTACAGCATGCAAGCTACTGTGACAAGTGCTGAATCCGGGCTACCTTTTACTCACAATAAGCCTATGCAGTGCGTCTTATGTTATTTCCCACTTTACAAATAAAGTACTGGACACACACAGTAATTTACTTGTGGTCAGAGTAAACAGTGGCGTCCTTAACTACTGTTTGGGAATACAGTGGACTGGAGAGTGAAAATAACAAATGTAAATGTTAGTATTCCACCCTCTTTGAACCTCATTTATCCAAGTGGGTAATTTCCATTTTTGTGGACACATGAGAATGAAATGACCAGAGTGTTGGATAGCAAGCCCTCCACCAACTTCCCCTTTTCCCCCTATTTGAAGATTTGGAAGGCGGCATGGCTTAAATCAATGAGCTTTCTTCTCTGGCTTCTAGTCAACAGGAAGTTTGAGAAAGTATTTGGAGGGAGAAGGGTGATGTTGGAGTAGTTATCTTCCCAGATCCTTTCCAGAAGTGTTGTCACAGATGTTTTTAAATGTCTTCTGGCAAAGGTCACTGTTCCTATCAGATAGCATCTTCATGCAGGGATCGCTCCTATTAAAACCATTCCTTCCATCTAGGATAAGGACGGTTGCTGTATTTCCTCAATATTTTTTTCTGAAGGACATGGAACTATCTCTTTACAATTAGTTCCTTTAAAAATCTTTTTAATTTACTCATTTTTTGAATTTGAGTCACCTGCTGAGACCCTACTTGATTAAATGTAATCATGTTTCCAGTAAGAGAAAAAAAACCCTGAAAATCTGATGGGGCAGCAGGAGAGTACAGCATGAAACAGAGTCCTTTAACAGCAGCGCAGAAGCACAGAGTGTTGGGTGGAGACTGCTGCATTCTATGGGGAGTTTAGCAGCCTCCTGCTAAGGTGCTCACCAATAGATGCCGGTAGGACTGTTCCCTGATCGGGAAAAACCCAAATACCTTCAGACTTTTCGAAACATATCCTGAGGGAAAGTTGTCCCTGCTTGAGAATAACTGATCTAGAATGAGTAGAACCAACTGATGAGGAGATGCACAATACTCACGGTAAATAGCAGTGGGATGGGGCCAGCACCCAGCTAGCCTTGATGAGGACACCCACACAAGGGTTGAAGTTGGACTTGAGGTATGCTAAGTAAGGAGCAGGGTCCTCTTTCTGCACATATGAGTGCGTGAATAAAGCTGTTCCTGAGAAAACAGTATCACACAAATGTCAGAGTAAATGAGACATTCACACCTTCCCAGAAGAGAAGGAGTACACATGGTTTTAGAGGAGGAATCAATTGGCTGGAAATCATTTTTCTAATAAAGATGTAAATTAAAGAGACACACTTTATGTAAGACATAATAATGTCTATATTTGTAAGATACACTCTAAGAAAGGGTATAATATAAAAGATACCTTTACTGCTTATAAATATATTTTCTTGGAAAGCAATTTAGAAATAAATATCAAGAACTGTAACTTGTTTATCCCTTGTAGTTTGAGAATTCCAACAATAGAAATCCATTTTTAAAGACTAAGTGTATTCATTTTTAGCAATACTTATAGTTGAACATTGGAAGGATAAATATCTAATATGTAATGTTAGACATTGAAATAAAAAACCACATAAGCAAGTAGAACACATCAAAAATAATATCAGTAACACTTGAGTTAAAGTTTAAAAAAAGTAGTGGACTATAAAAGGGAGGGAGGCTAAGTCTAGTGTGTTTTTCTAAGCTCTTACTGGTACTCTAGTACTCTTACTGGTACCCTTCCATACCTGGGCCTATACCTCATTTCTGTGTGACCATACTTAAACACTTCAAAGCAAAGAGGAGAGATTATTAATAAGGGCAAAAGATTTTGAGCTCTATATTAGGTGCTGGATTAATTAGCTTGCCGAATCTCAACCCAGCTAGTATGTGATATGGCCCTGGCAACAGGAAGTTGTGGGAAATGCCTCAGTCCAAGTTTCATGGAAGCAGAGACTGCAGCTGTAGTGATCACAGTGCTAAGTCTTTCCTTCCAGTCTCTGCCATCTCCTGCATTCCACATTAGGAACACATTAGGACTTTCCTAGAGGGCCACGACGTCCATATTTCACAGTAACCAGGAAAAAACACTCATTGTTAGGGGTTCTCACAGGTATGTGCCATAACCTATCATATAGTGTAACACTTAGGGTAGGCTGTTTTGTGCTAAGCCCTTAGATAGGGTCTAAGTGGGGAGACCCAGATTCTACTCAGAGTAGTATTTCTTGATGATTTTGCACACTAATCACACATCCATTTCACCTCACTACACTCTACATTAACCCACACTTTAAAGGACAGAATAAAAAGTCTTAAATACATACCAGCTAGGATGGCCAAATAGAAAATAAGTTTCATGATGGTGCAGCTCTTTTCTTGCGAGATGTAAAAAGAAGATCAGCAGAGGCTGCAATCCTCTGCCCCCTTGTCTCCTTAGGAATTTCTATCAGAGCCAGCAGATTTGGCTAGGTAGGGGAACACATGGGATGATCAGAAACGGGCTCTAGGCATAAGCAGCAGGTGGAAAAGACTCCAGATAGGGAGCCTGGAGAAACAGGAGACTATACTTCTATTGAGACTTTTCAGAAAGAGGAAAATAATCTTGTTTTGTTGAACTTCTGAGTCCAAGTCACCCTATATGCTAATCTCCTAAAAGCTCCACGAATTATAGCTAGTTCAATTGGTTGGAAAGAGGAGCTCCAGGATCAAGACTTATCTGAGGACAGAGCTGTGAGAAACAGGATTCTCTACCTTGGCTCAGGGAGAGTGTGTCCTTAGTGGTTTGCTCTGAAGCCCCTCATGATCACTTAATGCTTTTCTTAGCCCCTCCCATCTTTGTTACATCTGCTCACTGTTTCATCACTCAGTTATCACCACCAGCTGGGTCTTTTTCCCCCCTCCTGGTAAGCATCACTGAGCTGAGGAAAGGAAATGAGAGCTTACATGGAATGGTTAATTATCTTTGACAGTTGGAAAATAGTATATATTCTAGATGACCTAGAATCAAAGATTTAATGTGTTGATGACAATTCAGAAAACAGACCCTTCTATGTGACTTTTATATCATGAAATAGTGAAATGATTTTCCAGCTAACTCCATGACCAAAGTCAATATTACATACTACGGAGCACATACTCACAAGAAAAGGAGCATCAGCACAAATAGATTGCATTCCCTGAACATTTATTGAATTCCAGGCACAGAACTGAGTGTCCTCTCCCTCTTTGAGTGCCTGAGTCCCTGCCTGCTCCTGTTCTCCTCTCTTGTTTCCTTTTTCTTCTTTAATTGAAAAATATTTTGATACAATAAATCTTGACCGTGTTTTTCTCCTCCCCTAATTCATCTCATATCTTTTCTACTCCCTAGCTACTCAACTTCATATTTCTTTTTTCTTTTCATTTTCCTTTCTGGGAGTTTTAAAAAAACCTAAACCCCAAATCAAAACAAATATACACAACAAAACAAAAAACCTCCAAGAAACACTACCCTGACACAAACTTCTTCTTCCTCACAAAAATGGAACCCAAAATATAGAAACAAAAGACAATAAGACAAAAATGCCCAAACAAAACGAGACAAAAAAGTCTACTAAATATCATTGAGTTTGTTTTCTGTTGGCCAACCATTGCTGAGCATGGGGCCTACCCTGAAGTGTGATTAATATACCCAGTAAGAGTCCATTGGAGAAAACTCTTCCCCCCGTGCTTATCAATTTCACATAGCTCCTTGTTTAGAGATAGGAACCCATCATTGGGACCCTGAGAGGCCTTATATATGTTACCTTAGTCTCTTTGAGTATACCATTCCTGTTGTACTCAGTAGACGCTGTTTCCTTGGAGTCATTCATCCCTCTGGCTCTTTCCATCTCCTCTTTTACAGGCTTTCTGCACCTTGGTAGCTGAGTGAGACATTGATCTGAGTCCCAGACTGGTGTGGCCATGGGAGGTCCCTGGAAGAGAATGTTTCTTGGGATTGGCAGCTGACATAAAGGAACAGAGATAGGACAGAAAGCAACAATCTTAGTATTTTTGAGTCAGGTCTTTCTATATAGCCCAGGCTGGCCTCACATGGGTGCGTTTTCTGCCTCTGTTTCCCAAGCACTAGGACAACAGGTATGTGTCAGCACCCCAACCTGACCCAGAGTTTAGTTCTTCACTGATTACGCTTTTGCCATTTTATGCCTAGTTAAGGTTTCTAATGTGATCATCTGGGTCTTGTCTGCATGCTAAAGTCTTTGTCTAATTTTTCTCTGGTCTCATAGATCTTATCAATTGTTGCTCTAGAGTAAATCATACTTTTTAGTTATAAGCTCTTTTGTATTGATTGGAGTGTCAAGTCTTCAATCATTAGACATGCTTCTGTCTTCCTGTCTCCCGGACTTGAGTATGCTTGAAAATGGATCTCTTTCTGCATCTCTTCTCATTCTTTTTTTAAAAATATTTTTTATTTTAATTTTTATTAATTACACTTTATTCACTTTGTATCCCCCCATAAACCCCTCTAACCTCCCCTCCTAATCCCACTTTCCTTTCCCCTTCTCCACGCATGCCCCTCCCCAAGTCCACTGATAGGGGAGGTCTTCCTCTCCTTCCTTCTGATCCTAGTTTATCAGATCACATCAGGAGTGGCTACATTGTCTTCCTCTGTGGCCTGGTAAGGCTGCTTCCCCATCAGGGTGAGGTGATCAAAGAGCAGGCCAATCTATTCATGTCAGAGGCAGTCCCTCTTCCCATTACTATGGAACCCACTTGGACACTGAACTTCCATGGGCTTCATCTGTGCAGGGGTCTTAGGTTATCTCCATGCCTGGTACTTGGTTGGAGTATGAGTCTCAGGAAAGACCCCTGTGCGCAGTTTTTTGGTTCTGTTGCTCTCCTTGTGGAGCTCCTTTCCTCTCCAGATCCTACTATTTCCTACTTCTTTCATAAGATTCCTTGCACTCTGCCCAACAGTTAGCCATAAGTCTCGGCATCTGCTTTGATAGTCTGCAGGGCAGAGCCTTTTAGAGGCCCTCTGTGGCAGGCCTCTGACTTGTTCCCTGTTTTCTTCTTCTTCTGATGTCCATCCTCTTTGCCTTTCAGGATGGGGATTGAACATTTTAGCCAGAGTCATCTCTCTTGATTAGTTTCTTTAGGTGTACAGATGTTAGTAGGTTTATCCTATATTGTATGTCTATATGAGTGAGTATATACCCTGTGTGTCTTTCTGCTTCTGGGATAGCTCACTCAGGATGATCTTTTCCAGTTCCCACCATTTACCTGCAAATTTCATGATTTCCTTGTTTTTTTTTTTTTTATTAATTACACTTTATTCATTTTGTATCCCCCCATAAGCCCCTCCTTCCTCCCCTCCCGATCCCACCCTCCCTCCCCTTTCTGCATGCATGCCACTCCCCAAGTCCACTGATAGGGGAGGTTCTCCTCTCCTTTCTGATCTTAGTCTATCAGTTCTCATCAAAATTGGCTGCATTGTCCTCTACCTTGGCCTGGTAAGGCTGCTCCCCCCTCAGGGGGAGGTGATCAAAGAGCAGGCCAATCAGATTACGTCAGAGGTAGTCCCTCTTCCCATTACTATGTAACCTGCTTGGACACTGAACTGCCATGGGCTACATCTGTGCAGGAGTTCTAGGTTATCTCCATGAATAGTCCTTGGTTGGAGTATGAGTCTCTGGGAAGTTCCCTGTGTTCAAATTATCTTGTTCTGTTGCTCTGCTTGTGGAGTTCCTGTTCCCTCCAGCTCTTACTATTTCCCACTTCTTACATAAAATTCCATTCGCTCTGCCCATCAGTTGGCCATCAGGCTCAGCATCTGCTTTGAGAGTCTATACTGCAGAGGCTTTCAGAGGCCCTCTGTGACAGGTTCCAAGGTTGTTTCCTGTTTTCTTCTGGCTTTCAGAGGCCCTCTGTAACGGGTTCCGAGGTTGTTTCCTATTTTCTTTTTCTTCTGATGTCCATCCTCTTTGCCTTTCAGGATGGGGATTGAACATTTTAGTTAGGGTCCTCTCTTTTGCTTAGTTTGTTTAGATGTACAGATTTTAGTGGGTTTATTCTATGTTGTATGTTTATATGAGTGAGTATATACCATGCCTGTCTTTTTGCTTCTGGGACAACTCACTCAGGATGATCCTTTCCAGGTCCCACCATTTACCTGCAAATTTCATGATTTCCTTATTTTTCATTGCTGAGTAATACTCCATTGTATAGATGTACCACAGTTTCTGCATCCATTCTTCAGTTGAGGGGCATCTGGGTTGTTTCCAGCTTCTGGCTATTACAAATAAAGCTGCTACAAACATGGTTGAGCAAATGTTCTTATTGTGTACTTGAGCCTATTTTGGTTATATGCCTAGGAGTAGTATAGCTTGATCTTGAGGAAGTGCTATTCCTAGTTGAGAAAGCGCCAGATTGATTTCCAAAGTGGTTGTACAAGTTTACATTCCCACCAGCAGTGGAGGAGGGTTCCTCTTTCTCCACAACCTCTCCAGCATGTGTTGTCACTTGAGTTTTTCATCTTGGCCATTCTGATTGGTGTAAGGTGAAATCTTAGGGTTGTTTTGATTTGCATTTCCCTGATGGCTAATGAGGTTGAGCATTTCTTTAATTGTTTATCTGCCATTTGATATTCCTCTACAGAGAATTCTCTGTTTAGCTCTCTTACCCATTTTTATTATTTGTTGCTTTTCAACCTCTTTAGTTCTTTATATATACTGGATATTAGCCCTCTGTCAGATAAAGGGTTGGTGAAGATCCTTTCCCAATCTTTAGGCATTCATATTGTTTTGATGACATTGTCCTTTGCTTTACAGAAGTTTTTCAGTTTCATGAGGTCCCATTTATTGATTCTTGCTCTTAGAACCTGTGCTGTTCGTGTTCTCTTCAGGAAATTGTTTCCTGTGCCAATGAGGTCAAGGCTCTTGCCCACTTTTTCTTCTAACTGATGTAATATGTCTGGTTTTATGTTGAGGTCTTTGATCCACTTGGACTTTAGTATTGTGCAGGGTGATAAGTATGGATCTATTTGCATTTTTCTACATGTATACATCCAGCACCATTTGTTGAAGATGCTATCTTTTCTCCATTGTATGGTTTTGGCATCTTGTCAAAAATCAGGTGTCCATAAGTGTGTGGGTTTATTTCTGGGTCTTCTGTTCAGTTCCATTGATCCACCATTCTGCTTCTATGCCAGTGCCATGCAGTTTTTATTACTGTTGCTATATAGTACAGCTTGAGATCAGGAATGGAGATACCTCCTGAAGATCTTGTACTGTAGAGGATTGTTTTAGCAATTCTGGGTTTCTTGTTCCATATAAAGGTGAGAATTTTTCTTTCAATGAATTGTAAAGAATTGTGTTGGTAAT